ATGCAGCAATCAAGGAAAATGAAATTATACCCCACATGAGCGTCGAGGCAATGAGGAAATCCCTGCACGAAATTAATTTTCGTTACGAAACGCGTAATCGGAAGTCAGTATTGATAGAGAGACCTGAAATAGTCGCCTGGCGTCGAAAATATCTACGCGAAATGATTGAATATAGGCGACAAAGCAGAAAAATCTATTATTTGGACGAGACATGGGTAAATGCAGGTCACACAGTTAAAAAAACCTGGATAGACAAAAACGTAGTGAGTAACCGACAAGCAAGCATTGAAGGTTTGTCAACAGGTCTTCGTGGACCGTCAGGGAAAGGTCAAAGATTGATCGTAACTCATATTGGTAGCGATAGTGGCTTTTTAGAAGAGTGTGACTTGATTTTCGTCTCTAAGAAAGGAGGTGATTACCATGACGAAATGAATGCCAGCTGCTTCGAGAGCTGGTTTCAAGGGGTGCTTCAGCGAGTTGAGCCCAACTCTGTGATCGTCATGGATAATGCTTCCTACCATAGTCGTCGAGCCGAACGTGTACCGACTATGGGATCTCGAAAAAGTGACATGCAGCAATGGTTGCGCGAAATAGGAATCCCGTTTGACGATTCATGTGTGAAAGCGGAATTGTATGAAAAAATTAAACAGCACAAACCTGCGAACATTAGTTACGTGACTGATGAGATGGCCCGTCAATGTGGTGTCACTGTGCTGCGGTTACCGCCCTACCACTGTGAACTGAACCCAATAGAGCTCATCTGGGCTCAAGTGAAGGGTTATATTGCGCGCCATAACACAACCTTCAAATTACCAGACGTTAAGGTTTTACTTGAGACCTCCATACAGCTAGTAACGCCCGAAGCTTGGCAGAATGCTATCCGTCATGCTGTGAAGGAAGAAACAAAAATGTGGCAGCTTGACCACCACATCGACACCATCATAGAGCCAGTTATAGTCAATTTCAACGAGGAAAGCGATAGCGACAGTTTATTACTGTCAGATGTAAGTGGAAGCGACGATGAATAAAGATAATTCCCAAATTCTTGACTTACAATATGTTTCAAACCACTCTTTATTAAGCATGTGACAAATCTAGTTCACCCATGTTAAACATTCATACCCCGCCTATGAACAGCCGACTACTGGTAGTTAAGTGATGTTCACGTGAACATCGATGAGTCATTACAGTTTTAGATAGTTATAGTATAGTTACCCGAATAGGCCACTTTATCCCCATTTAAGGGACTTACGGTCTCCGATGGTGAGGGTCGATCTTGAAGCACTCGGTAGATACTGTTTGAAATAATGAAGACTGTAAACTAAGTGTACCGGAAGTTATAACAATAGACCATAGACGATGGACTGAATATTCGGTTACAAGGGTGGGTTTCTTATCAGTGGGTTGGCGACAGAGGGGTGCGATAAGCGATAAGGGCCTAACGGCCTTTCAGGTCGACGGTTTGGCAAGTAAATAAGAAGATAGTGATGCTAAAACGCTATTCGTGCATTTTAAAATGAAACGTGGCTATTCATCATTGTAAGGTGATTCTAATGTTATTCTTCCCTAAATGCTTCTAAATTGTCAGTAGAATAAAATTATTTTGTATAGTGTGTACGCCACCTTTCGAGGAAACTATTTGGAAGACGATACATCAAGACACATGAGAAAAATGACAATAAAAAAGTCGTTCTTCGTTATTGAATAAGCGATGGTTCGTATGATTTCCACTTTTCTCTGGGATCTCACAAAACTGCGCGTAACTCAAAAGTTGTTCGACTTTGTACTAAGGTATATGTATCTGATGCTAAGGTCAACTTTAAGCTGAACGAATTTAAAATTTCAGTATTTTTGAAGCAGCAGATACAATTAAAACTTAAGTGGAACTTAAGCAGGCAGTTGAGCTTTTAAGTTGAAGATTTTCTCTGATTAGGATAATGTTTCTGCCCTGAAATGTACCTTGGTTTTGATAAATTGATGATCGGGTATCTTAAGTTGATATTCGAAGAGTTCAAACTGGAGATAGATACCACAGACAAATCCTGAAATTGACTAAATACATTCACTGTGTACGGCATTCCTCGCCAAATCCGTAATAAAACATATAGTTAAAGATGATCACAGTACACTTTTCCAAAGATTTCGTATAATTCGAAAACGTTTATTCATATTGAGGTTAATTGACCTATCGACGACAGCCTAGAATTCCTTTATAATTGATAAGGATATGCATTATACATAATAGCGGTCACTGCCCTCAAGTGTATCAATTACCATTGCCAAAATGACGAAATGTGATAGATTTCTATAGACCAAGTTAACCAACTTGTAGGTGTAGTTGCAGGTGTAATTCTCCTATAAAGCTACTGAAAATACACTTTTATCAGATGTAGCAAGTTTTTACCAAATCATGGAACTGTAACAGAAGCCTAAACTGAGGTTGACCTTAACATACAGGGTAGAATATAAACTCACCTTTCAAAATGGTGGACTAGCCGGCGGTCAATGTTTATCGTTTTTGTACACTGAGTCATTTTAACTCAATGGCCAAACGTCTTAGTATGTTACATCGATCTTCTCCTTTTGGAAGGTTCTATACAGGAATGCTGGGTCGTTCGCTTCAGATAAATACATTTTTGGATAGAACCTTCCAAAAGAAGATTATGACGGTTTGAGCATTAGTTGTTGTGACTCAATCCACAAAGAGCCGTTTTACACAAAAGAATTACTCCGAAAATTATAGTCATAATTATACCGAAAATTTTTGCTGTCGCATTACACGTAAAAGAATTCTTGTGAAAATTTTCATGGTAAAAATATAAAACCCGTTCTATAGAATATGCGCGAGAATCGGCGCAGAGGGTTATTTCCGTGCATGTCATTATCAAATCTCAACAACATAACCTCACTTAACATTTGTGGGTGTGGTCCTGTTCGAGTCGTACGAAGAAGCGTTTATTGTTATTGTTTATTCATAATGTCGTGGAATCGGGAAGAAGTTACACTGTTGCTGGAGGAGTACCAAAAATGGCCAAACCTGTACTAAGTGAAGTCACCCAATCACAAAAACAGAAATTTGCGGCATCAGGCGTTGGATGCGATGGTGCAAGCAAGTTTTATAATATTAACCGAGATCTCGATTTCAAAAATAAATTTAAATCAACGACGTCTGTTGTCTTTCCGATTATATTGGACGTCATACCCGTTAAGGTTATGTCCATTCGAAAATATTACTCTAATCCGCAGGCGTATCATATAGTGTAGTGAAAAATCTTCAATATTGTTTCCATGCAAATTTTCGGCATAATTATGATCATAACTTTCGGAGTAATTCTCTTGTGTGTAAAACGGCTCAAAGACAATAAACTTTGACAGCTTGTCAGTCCACCATTTTATATTCGGAGCTCATAAGGAACTCACAAGTAGCTCCAAAGTAACGTATCGCACGCACCTTAGTCCCACTTAAGATTTATGGTTTGGATTTCCCCCGCCGAGGGGTGATAATTCACCCTCAAAACAAAACAACAAAGTCCCTGTTTCCGCTGCTCTCTTGGTATAAAAAATTTAACCAGATTATTTACGTTTATAAGGAAAACATAAATTTAGAACTTATAGCCTACAGTCTAAGATTCATCGTTAACAAAAAAACAGAATATCTTGTAGGGAGGTTACAAAAATTTTAGACAATTAACAGCTTAAGAACTAAAAATAACTAAAAACTAGTCACTTCAAGAAAAGGCTTTGGGGCCTCGGTTGGCCGCGTTGGTCAGAGTGTCGTGCTACTGATCAGCCGGTCGGCCGGGCCGCGAGTTCGAATCTCGCCTTCGCCATGGATGTTGTGACGTCGTGTGTTTGTCATTATAGAAATATATATAAAATAATATCCAACCTAGTTTCTGGCTGCATGGCCTAGTCCTAAAGCCAAAAAAAAAAAAAAAAAAAAAAAAAAAAAAAAGGCTTTTTTCTACGTAGCTGTAAATAATCTACCAAATGAATACCGCCATCACACTTTGAAGAACTTCAAGAAAGAATGAACAAATATGCTACTAAATATTATGTGATCATCCTCTAGCCGCTTGATCCACAATCATTCATCGTGATATAAAACTAAATAGATACTCATGACAATGTATGCTTCATATTCGGCCATCCATATTTATACAGGGTGACTTTGAAGTTGAGTCATTAATTTTCAGATAATGATTGTAGAAGGAAGATAAACCAAAATATGTGTGTAAAAATAAGAAAAAAATTAAAAAAAAAAAATTACCTTGTTTTCTAAAGTATCCTCCCGACAAGTATTTCAGTGCGGACCTGTATTTGATCGTGAGGTCTTGGAGCACCGGCATGCCGTCCATATGTGAGGTCTTAAGTCGCCTGATTCACGAACCCGTTGTACTACATTAACAAAGGCACGAGGGGTTGGTTGCACTCGATTGGGAAACCGATCCGCATAAACATGTGCCATTTTTTATTTCGTTTGAGCCACGCAACAGACACCACTATTTACTGCCGACTGACACTGACTGTATACGTGTATACAACTGAATGAAATAATTGTAAAAACATCGTTCCAAATTCTTTCGCTTTTTTGTTTCCGATGCGATGAACCGATAAGGCGGATTATATCCGTTGTCGCGAAACACGAGCACATAATATTATTATTGAGACAGGGCGGTACTCCAAAGGGCTATAACTTTGTTACTTTAATTTTACCAGAAAAATGGTAAAGGAAAAAAACATTTCTTTTGATCAGATCTACTCACTGTTAAAATAAATGACTCAACTTCGAAGTCACCCTGTATAACTAACTTATACCTCTAACTTATTTATTGTAAAATCACTTTTTATATTATTTGGATGAATATTAGATTGTGTAGTAGTTTAATGGAAGGTTGAGTTAAAAAATACCAATGCAATTACAAAACTGCAGTTTCATATATTTTAATATTTGTACAAGAATCCAATAAAGGCAATTTATTACTATTATTATATATTATCTGGATTATATGTGTGATATACATTGAGCATTATTTACAAACAGTAAGTAACCCAGAAGTGTGATGGGGACATTGAAAACACCTGGCATTTGACGCCAACAAAGTTAAGACGTGTGTGTATACAGAGTCTGCTTGTGTCACTTGTTAGAGAGTGCATAATAATATCAAACGAAGAGGAGACGAATGTCTGAGGCTTAATGGGCTCGATGATATAAATCCAAAAGCAGTGGCGTTCCTCAAGTGTTATATTGATGGATCTCGCCTCAAATCAACTAGAAATAAAAATATTTTATTTATATTATTATATTTTAGTAGAGTTTGGGGAGAATACTTTCATCGATAGTGGTTTACAAGGTTTATGGGAATGTTAATTTATTATGGACTTGCTGAAGATTTATCAAAGTAATGATGATGAATGCCTAAACTAGTTTGTCTGAATCGGTGATTTAGTCTGCAGGGTGTCCCAGAAATGACACGCCAGAGTGACAGGGGAGGTAGATTGGCTGTATCAATCAGATAAAATATATGTCGATAGCTCCTACATCTTCAGCTGACTTTTTTTCAAGTCTCACACTACGCAGGTAGATAACAAACTCGAACGAGAGAGATGACCATTTGAAGTATCATTGTGTACACTTGTCAATATAAAATGACCCTCATATGTCATACATTAAGTTATCACTGAAATTAAACAGCCAGTCATCATAAGTATCATAAATGGTAACACTGGCTTCATGATGACTTGCCAGGAAGCTTGCTAGCACTTGAGGTATAACAATATATGGCAAAAATGAAGATTCTTACTGTTTTTGCATTATGCTTATAATTACACCGAGGTAACACTGAGCCATTAAGATTCCAAAACACAGTACTGTACCTTGACGAACAAGAATCGTCCTAACGCTCATCCAGTTTCGATGGAGGACCTAATTTTACCAATGAGCCACTCATTTCGGCTGGTCGGAGTCTAGATCACCGAGGACTTGATCTGGCACGAACACATCTCGTCAATGGCGGCAGCTGCTGGTAGAAATCTGCATACCTCCTCACTCTGTACAAGGCCCAGATTACTGCTCACATATTTGGGGGCTGTCGTCCCAACTACGAGCCCCTTCCCACTTCAGTTGGGCCAACTATTGAAATCTTAGTTTTTTTCTTATCAAATAATAAAAATGAATCAGGGTGTTATAGGTTTAGAATATTAACAATGAATATTTTGAAAATATATAGTATAAAGCACCAACTTTGTCACTCCCTAATCAAATTTGCAGCATAAAAATAACACGTGTTGCAATTACAGCATATCAACCTATTTTCATTTCAATGCAAAGAACATAGACGATGGACACCTCAACAATGGTGTGCAATACAATGGAGTGATGAGGCCCGATTCGAAGTTTGTGTTGGTGACAGTCGCAGTAGAGTTATTCGCAAAAAAAATGAAGCATTCCATGTTGACTGTCTGAAGAGAAAAGTTAAATTTCCAGCATCCATTATGGTCTGGGGCAGTATGTCATCAAAAGGAGTAGGAAAACTTCATTTTATTGATGTGGATACAAACAAATATTTGGCAATTTTAGGAGAATCCCTTTTACCAGTGATGGAAGAATGTTTGACATCTGGCCAAGATTTTGTGTTTCAGCAACATGGTGCAGCGTGCCATACCTCAAAAAGGCTATAAAATGGGTGGAGGAAAATAATGTACCACTTTTGAAATGGGTTTCTAGCAGTCCAGATCTGTCACCTATTGACACTTTGTGGCATGAGATGAAAAAGGTTCTACGACAACATCCTGCTCGTACAATCACCGAACTGAGACAAAAGCTTCAAGAAATATGGGATTGTTTTACACCAAATTTTTGCCAAAACTTCTTTAACACTATGCCCCAAAGAATTTCAGCCGTAATAAAAAGTAAAGGTGATGTTACCGAATGGTAATCTTTCAATTGTTGCTTTGTTAACTTGGCGCATTTATTCGCACATTGTTTATTTGTTCAGATGTTCTATTAGTTACAGGTCTAAGTGATTTCAAATATGTATCTTTTACGACTAGAGTGTATCTAAAACGTTTTTGAGAAAATTAATTATTTTAGAAGTAAATAGTTTCATCATGTTTAGTTTATAAAGGCATATTTTGGTACAAATCTTGAAGTGGGCCAACTGAAGTGGGAAGGGGCTCTTATATTATCCATGCTAGATGACGTTCAGAGGAGGGCTAGCCTACTGATCGATGACTCTTCTCTGACGGAGAGCCTCGCGGTCCTTTCACACCTGCGGGTCGTCGGCAATTTAGCTCTCTTCTACCGCTACGCCAACGGGCTTTGCTCCTCAAAGCCGACCTCCATGATGCCGCCGCAAGATGTGCCTGCCAGACAGACCCGCCTGACTTCAACATTCGATCCTGACCATGCCGAAATTTGGACATCCAGAACTGGACGATACGACCGCTCCTTTGTCCCCGGGATATCGAGATTGTTGAGCAATCCAGATAAAGAGGCTTTTTCCAGTTTTACTAACCTTGCGAAATTCAAAAATCAGATTAACAAAGTTTCTATGAGCTCCTGATTGGAGCCGCGGTGCCCTGGCACCTAGGCTTCTGCCTGCGCGGATGCTTTAGTGAAAAAAATGATACCATTCTCAGCTTCAAATGATTGAGCAGCTAATACGTCCCACTATATGATGGAATTGGGTAAAACAACCTTTGTTGTGTTTCATATTAAATTCCACATCGCAAGTTTAAGAAAGTGCATGTGTAGAGTTAGCCACTCATGTTTGGCTTTTTTATGTCCTTTCCGGAGAAATTTTAAGCGTCCAGCATGTCCGACCTTTTGGTCTACACAGTAGTCACATAATCGCAACCATGTTCGAACCGCGTGCCGCATATAACATAGTTTTTTTATTATTGTAGTTTTGTAATTTTATAAATGTATATTCGTCCAAGGACGGATTCATGATGGGAATCGAAGTCGACAAGCTAATACCGCTACCCCATCCCTCGAAGCATTTCTGCAATTATCGACAACTAACCCTCCTCCCTCCTGGTCTTTCATTTTTAGTCGCCTATATAATATGAATGCTGTGACCACACTATGTCCCACCCCCTCTAGACGGCTTCCTAAGTCCGCCACTGGACTAAGTGGCCCTTCCGTGACTCAAAGGCTGGTTCCGCCCTTGTGTTCGATTTCTTAAAAGTTATCTTTGACTATTGAAAAAGATAATGTGGGGTTTTGATGGTCAGACTTCCGGCCAAATACAACGCCGAGTCCGGCTTTTGTATTTTAGGAGATGGAAACCCTATGCGTATGACTGTTCCCATCAGTTTAACTATTTTGTTTGCTGCCATTCCTTTGCTAACATTATGCCTAAATTATAGTGATGACACTGATGAATACAGGATTTGTTACACGACAATTTTTGGATGTATCTTGTTTATTTTGAGGCCCTCAAGTCAAATCTGAAAACAGAATTTTTCTATCACCTACAGGTATTCGGTAACACCTACTTTTATGAATTACAATACGTAACATCTCATATTGCTGCATTTCTCGGCGTTTATGCGATGACGCACATATATAATGTTAAGATCTGCCTATTATATGCGAGCTCCATGTTTAGAGAGCCTATTGCGTTTATTAGTAGACTAATAGCAGTCGAGTGAGTAACACTTTCTGTGCTGAAGAGTACTGAGATGTTCTGGGTACTGTTAATTTTTGTTAAAACGGTGTGTTGTTTTTAGTTTATTGTGATCAAGACACGCTTTATGGACAATGCCTAGAAATTGTGTAAATAATGCGAACAGTTTTTGTTATGTGTGCGGAGACCTAACTTTTAAATCCCAAAAACGTGCTTTTACTACCCTTGCTTTGAAAGCATACGAACGATTTTGGAATCAAAGTTGACGATGAAGATAAGCTATGGGCCCCTCGTGTATGTTGTAAGATGTATGTAACGTTCTTAACAGGTTGGTTAAAAGGTGGCAATCGTAAAATGCCCTTTGCGGTATCAATGGCTTGGAGAGAACCGAGAGACCATACCACTGATTGCTATTTTTGCGTCACAAATATTAAAGGTATTGGACCAAAATCGAAACATACTGTTAAGTATCTTAATTTACCATCAGCTTTGCGGCCCGTTAAGCATGTGATGAACTTTCTGTCCCAATTCCACCAGAGTCTTGGTCTTTGGATGAAAAAGCCGAATCCACCGATTCTGAAAGTGATGGTACAGAAACCGTAAAAATGTCCGAAACTTCGTTTGACCTACCAGGGTTCAACGGCGCCGCATTTGATAACACAGGGCGAACTTGATGACATAGCTCAGAAGTAAATCTGTCAAAATCCCAGTAAGAACTTTTAGCGTCAAGACTAAAAGGATCGAATCTTCACCACGGTGATGTTAACATTACTTTTTACCAAAAACGGCAACAAGACCTCACACACCGCTTCCGTCAAGAAAAGGAGTTGATATACCTGTATTGCTCCGATGTCAACAATTTGTTTGACGCGTTAGGACAGAAACATGATCCAAATAATTGGCGTATGTTTATTGATTCCTCTAAGCTTAGTTTAAAAGCAGTATTGGTACACAACGGTAATAAATATGTATCTGTACCTATAGCGCACGCAGTTCATATGAAGGAATCATATGAAAATATGCGAGTTCTGTTAGAGCATATCCGTTATAATCAATATGGATGGGCCATATATGCAGATTTGAAGGTAATAGCTCTTCTTCTTGGAATGCAACTGGGATATACCAAATATTGTTGTCTTCTTTGTGAAGGGGACAGTCGCGTGCGAGATCATCATTATGAACAGAAGAGTGGCCATTACGTCAGGTATTAACTCCAGGCCTCAAAAACATTGCTCCTGAACCTCTAGTTGATCCGAAAAACGTGTTGTTTCCACCTTTGCATATTAAGTTGGGACTCAAAGCTGCAGATCGAAATGGAAGAGGGTTTCTGCATTTAAAACAAACATTTTCAAGTCTTAGGGCCGATTTCACCAACATTAATATTATGGACCAATGGGAAAATACCTTATCGAAATGCAATTTGACAGAAGCTGTCAAAGGTCTCTGAATATTAGTGATTTCTATTGAAATATTCAATAAAATCGTGAAAGTTCGACTGTATTATAAACAAGACCACTTTTTGATTCCAACATGATTCTTTTGTACAGAAAAAACAGGACGACTTTCATGTATTTTGATATATCTTATAGGTTTACATTTAACAATCCGTTATCCCCTTCAGCGAATGGGAATGCGGCAAGTAATAGGTCGATTTTCTAGCTGTTAAATTTGGCAGCAGATTTGGACGTTTCTTAATGCAATGGCACTCTCGAATTTACCAACTTCAATATACTGAAAGTTATCATTACATACCTGTTGAATAGTGTGGATTTGTCTGTATTTCGCAAGAAAATAGAATATAAAATACATTCCATCCAATTCCTCATCTTCCTTTACGTCATAATAGTAATCATTTATTAATTTATGGGTTAATGAATTTTTCCAAAGCAATAAAATGATTATGTCCTCTCCATCCTAAAACACAGATAATATGTGTAAGACGTGTCAATCCGTACATCTCCCTGATGCATAATGCAATTACTATGGACATAAAATTATGAAAAATGTTTCACAAATAATGTCTCTTAAGTCCAAAAAAACATAAAAACTAGTAATGTTTTTCTTTTTGAGTGGCGGGGATATCTATCTGTCACTCGCAGGGTTGCCAAGTCTAACGACGATCACGTCCCGTGGTGGAGGGTACGAAATGAATCTTTTACATTTGCTGGTTTTGAATTTTTTTCGTGAAAATTTACTAGGTATCATGATTATAGGCATCTTTGGTAGATTGTTCTATCCAGAATGGTAAAGATCTCCTATTTATGAAAATATTTT